CAAGGAGTAAAATGGCAAAAAGAGCAAAAACATCTGCGGTGGTGGGAGAACTTTCAGTCAAAATAGATGAGACATAATCATAATAAAGTTAATATGAGAAGATCTGACAATGAAGCAGAAGCAGCAGAAGAAGACGCAGATATCTCAACTAGTTGTTGGTGTTGGCTCTGGCGTTTGGTACTTAAACAAGTTTCATATTTTATGATACGGGACTCTTGTTGTCGGGTTATTATTTTTTTTCCTTCGCTCCTCATTTTGAAAAATGATGAGTTAATATGTGAAGAAATTCGCCAAAGTAGCTAGTCGTCTTTTTGGGTTGTCGTAGGTTTGGTTGCTCTTCATTTTTTTAACAGGATACATGGATACAAGGATAACTACCAAAATTATGCCACATTCACCCATATCTTGTATTTGAGTGTGTGTGTACGGCATACAAAAATAAGCAAACGGAAGTCATCTTTTGATTGACAGTGTTTGTTGCTGTTATTTGTTGGGGGTTATTATTACGCTTTTTTTTTGCTTCTGAGGGGCTGAAAGATTTTGGGAGACAAATTTGTGTGTGACTGATTGGGGTTTTCCGGAGGGATTCACATAATTGAGTGGCTAAAGTGCAAAGGGGTCAAGAATTTTGCAAGACATGACCAGAATATTTGGAGGCAAACACACAGAAAGAGAGAGATAGAGAGGAGGAGCGAGTGGTGGTGGTCATATCATTAGATATTTATTAATATTTGGGACCAGCATAAATTTACACATGTGTCCCCCTTTTAAACTGGGAAGGGAAATCAATTTTAAAATTGAATTTTTGAAATGAAGGGAAATGAGGCGAAAATTGACGATTGACCTTAATATTAGACAAAGGCGAGAAATGAAGTGTCATGAGAAAAGAATTTATTTTCATAAAAATTTCCAACTAAAAAGGTACGATTTGATTGGGCGCCATAATACCATAAAAATAGAGCTTCTGATTACATCAATGTAGCAATGTCACGAAGTTGTCTCATTTCAACAGTGTTGACACCTCAGGATTTTCTCAATATCAAAACGGGAAAATTTAGTACTTTTAGTACTGATATGAATAGTACAATCTGGAAAATTAAAGATCAAGTTCAAATGCCAACAATTTATTATGGGAACAATTTGTATATATTTAAAACATTTTGGTTGAAAATAATTTTTTTTGTCGATTGGGCTCCCCGAAATGCTTCCGAAGGTCATATCTGGCTGGAATTATAAATGTTGGGATCGCTGTGAATGCTAAGCACTTAAATAGATAACACAAACGAAAGTAACAAAATTTGGTATAGAAAAAACATACTGACTCACCTAAAATCAAAGCCCCGACGAAACGGATGAAGTTAGAAATTTGAAATTTTGTACGAGCCTTGGTAGAAGGTTTGTAATATTATAATTGGAAAAGTGTACTATAATTGTACGAAAAGTACTGAGTGGTACTAAATAATCCTGAATTTTGATATTTAGATTACTGATAATATCTGTGTTTGAGATTTGGCGGTGGTTTGGAAATGTGTCCTATATTTGTACAAAAAGTTCTAAATGGTACTAAATTTGGTATTGGGGGTTTATAATGATGTCAATAGGCATAGGCAATTTTTGCCATAAGCCATTACAATATTCAAATACATAACTTAAAAAAATCAGGTAAATAATGTAGCTAAAATCATCAAAATACCGAATGTAGGAATGACCTGGACCTGCATAGCCAATTTATTGTAACATACTGTATAACCTATTGAGAACTTCAAGAACGGAATTTGATACGATTCCCGTGGAAGGATAGGAAGATACCAAAATAGGGGGACTACACGAAGACCTGGACCTGCATAGGCAATTTATTGTCACATGCTGGAGTACTCATTGGGAACTTCAAATACGAAATTTGAAACAATTCCGGTGAATATTGTACCTAAAACAGTTAAAATACCGAATATAGGGGGTACCGTAATATGGGGGCTATACGAAGACCTGAACATGTATATGCAATTTCTTGTCACAGGCTGCAGTACCTACTAGGAACTTCAAATACGAAATTTGAAATAATTCCGCTAAATAATGTCGCTAAAATCATAAAATTACCAAATATCGGGATGTACCGTTATATGGGGGATATACAAAAACGTGAACCTACACACGATTTTTTTGTCATATGCTGTAGTACCCATTACGCATTTTAAATACGAAATTTGTTGAAATTGCGGTTAATAATGTCCCACAAATTATGAAAATACCGAATATCGGGAACTATCGTTATATGGGGGCTATACGATGACGTGGACCTGCATACAAAATTTTTTGTCATAGGCTGTAGTACCCGTTTCGAACTTCAAATACGAAATTTGGTAAATAATGTCGCTAAAATCATGAAAATACCGAATATCAGGAGGTACCTCTATTCGAAAACGTGGACCTGCATACAAATTTTTTTTCCATAGGTTGTAGTACCTCTTAAGATCTCCCAATAAGAAATTAGAAACGATTCCGGAGAATAATGTTTCAGAAATCATCAAAATACCGAATATCGGGAGGTACCGTTATATGGGGGCTATACGAAGACATGGACCTGCACAAACAATTTTTTGTCTTAGGCTGTAGTATCAATTACGAACTCTTAACACGTAGTTTGAAACTATTCCGGTAAATACTGTCGCTAAAATCATCAAAATACCGAATATCGGAAGGTACCGATATATACGAAATATACGAAAACGTGGACCTGCCCACAAAATTTTTTTCCATAGGTTGCAGTACATATGAAGATCTACCAATACGAAATTAGAAACGATTACGGTGAATAATGTTTCTGAAATCATAAAAATACCGAATATCGGGAGCTAACGTTATATGGGGGCTGTACGAAGACTTGGACCTGAATACAAAAAATTTTCTCATAGGCTGTAGTACCTAGTACGAACTTCAAATTCGAAATTTGAAAATTATTCCGGTAAATAATATAGCTAAAATCATGAAAATACTGAATATCGGGAGATACCGTTATATGGGAGCTATACGAAGATACAACATTTTTTGCGATAGGTTGTAGTACCCATTAGGATCTTCCAGTACGGAATTTAAATCGATTTCGCTGAATAATGTTGCTGAAATCATCAAAATACCGAACATCGGGAGGTACCGTTACCGGGGGTATACGAAGACTTGGACCTGCATACAAAAATGTTTGTCATAGGCTGTAGTACCTAGTACGAACTTCAAATACAAAATTTGAAATTTAGCGAACTTAACCTGCCTACTGGTAAGTTATGTATGTATGCAATTTTTTTTTTAATTTTAGCCTTCTATCTAAATGCGTTCAAAAGATAGCGTGATTACAACAGACAGAGGGACAGACAGACGGACATAGCTAGATCGTCTATGAATTTTACGCTAAAACTTTGTAGGTTTAATTATAAATATTTCGAGGAGTTAAAAACCACCATTCCATAGAATGGTGAAGGGTACAGGGTTGCCCATATTTGACGGACCTTTGGGCCCTTTGGGCCCATTCCAATCGACGAGGCGTGTCCGCAGGCAACATTCTTTGCGTCAATTGAATTTTGTACGGGAACAAATGCAAATCAATGAGAATAATCCGTTGTAAAGTGGACCAAGCCATGCCCAACTGCTGAGAACAGCGTTTTTGGGATGTTCTTGGGGACCTCTCAATACAGGCTCGTACGGCAGCGATATTCTCGGCCGATCGCCTTGGTCGACTTTTATATGGCCTCTTCGGATTAGAAAGAGCTTTACCAGTCGAAAATTTTCGTATAAACGCTTAAGCGATGTGACATCTCTGTCAAAAGTTATGGCGTTGCCAGATGGGTCCGGGCAACGATATGGGCAACCCTATAAAAAGGCCCAACACGTCTTTACCGATTGCCAAATTTAGTAACATTTTGTAGGAATAAAAAAAGGCATAGGCATAGACCTCAATATGAAATTAAGGGACTTCAGCCTTATCCATTCAGCTATTACCAAATTTAGGGCCATTAAGTACATGTCATTTCCAAAACCACCTCAAAATCTCAATCCTATTCATTCATTCATATCCTATTCACTTATAGTAACACTAATGCCATTATGTACCTTTCGTATGCTCGCTTTAAAATGCAACTCTTTATCTTAACCCTTAAACGTTCAACAAATGTATCGAATTTAGTACCATTTAGTTCAGTTTTTACAGTTAGTACACATATTGCACCTATTTGTATAACACTACTTCCCTAACTTCGTCCTCACCCCTATCCACCAACATTGACCCACATGCAAAATTTCGAGATTCTAGCTAGAGCCGTTTCACTTGGGTTTTGATGAATCAGTCTATATAGATTAAACTGTAACCGCAGCACATCTGGACGTATGAACGATGTCATCAAGTATACGCTACGTTGTCCGTTTTTATTCCAGTCACTCACATCCTTTGGAGATTATTTTTTGTCCTATCCGACTAAATTTAAAATATCCAAAAAAAGTCTATTGAAATCATGTGGAGTAAGGGATTATACTAAAAAATTAAAAAGATAATTGCAATATCCTTGAAACATCCTGCCATTCATATTTTTTTTTATAAAATTAGAAAAAAAAACTTTGAGAAAAATTAAAACAAACTTTTTTTTAACATTCAACTTTAAAATGAAAAAAGAAAGAAAGATGGAATAAAATATTAACCTTACACGTGCTGTGGCCCAGCAGCTAACCTTTTGACTGTAATCCGACTAATATCTAATCAATTATATTCTTTTTTCTTATTTTTTCTCTCTCTCTCTCTCTCTCTCTCTCTCTCTTTTCATGCAACTCATTTTTGGGGGATGCGATGCTTGACTTGTAATGGCAACATCATTCATACAACAAAAACAACAACAATGAACTTATAACCGTCCAAAATTATGATTTATTATCTATCAATAACCTACAATGGCTCCGAAACCACTACCACTACCAACAACAACAACGACGGCGATGACGACCTCCCATCACACATGCAGGATCTAATATTGGAGAAAAAGTCCTTGGTGAAGGAAACTAATCGTCTGAAAACATTAAACAGCCATCTGGACTATCGCCTAAACGAACAGGAGAAACGCCTGAGTGCCGTTAGCTTGGAGTTGACAAAAACTTGGCATTTGGTTGGCAAAATGCAACGTCAACATCGTCAAATGCACACCCAGGAGCAGATTTTACGCTACCAGCTGCAGCAGAAACGCCGCCTGCTGCACGAACTGAAGGATGAACTGGAGTACTGTCGCCGCAAGTGGCAGGCGGCACGTGCCAAAAACGATGAAAGTCAAGAGCAGTGCGATGATTTACGACGTGAGTTTGCCAGGCGTAAATTGGAAGATGCAAATAATTCGGCTGAGAGCGGTTACAGCGATTCGGGTGGCCCCGTCTCGGATGAGGAGCGTGAGGCAAAGGGTGCTGGGGATGATGTGGATGGTGCTGCTGGTGGGGTTAGTGCCAAGCAAAAAGAGGATATGCCAGGAAATGAGGAGGCCGGTGCTGATGATGGTGATGAGGATGACGACGACGATGATGAGGATGTGGCCTCCAGCTCGGCTGGAGGTGCCGCTGGTGGTTGTGTCAACTACAGACGCAAACGTTTGAGGGAAATGTTTGAGCATTCACGTAAAATCAAACGTATGCAAAGTACATCGCCGGGACGGGCAAATGCCAACAACAACAATCCGGATGACACTGACACCGAGGTGGTCTTGAGATGGAACAGTGCACCACCAACATGTGGCTGGAGAGATGTGGGAGAGCAGGGACAGGATGATAATGACGACGACGAAGAAGAAGAAGAGGTGGAAATACCAACTCTGTTGGTAAGACCAAGTACCTCGGCAAGTGGAGCCATACCAAAGGTCACCCGGTCCTCAAGACGTTCACAACGTCGCAGTGTTGAGAGGGCGAATGCCACCGATCTACCGGATTTGGATGAACCCTCATCCGAAATCACTGATGACCGGGCTACACGCATAAAACGCTTGGAAGAACAATGCAAAACCTTAATTCAACAGGTATTGGAAACCTCCGATAACCGGGAACGTTTGGAGGTCCAACTTAGGCGTTTCCAAGACGAAATGGCTCCCGTCCAATATGCCGTGCCCTTGGAGGAATTGATGAACAAGAAACGCAAGGATCGTTCCACCCGGGCCAGTTCAGCTCCGGCCCCGGGTAGCCTTACGCCGCGCGAAGAGGAATACACCCGACGTCGTTCGGAGCGCCTTGGGCGTTTGGAGGAGGAAAGTCGCCAGCTATTGTTTCGCATTAAACGCACCTCCGATAGGGGTCATTATTTGCGTTGCTCCCTAGATCGCATTCGCCGTAACCCCGTCTCCAGAGAGGGAAGTTTTGAGAGCAACACCGAGGAGGAAACACGCAAGTCCGAAGATGAAGCATCCCATGGCAAGGTAAATGAAAGTACTCCCAAGAAGGAGGATATTCCCAGCACCTCAGCTCAGGCGGAAAAGAGTCCTCTCAGCGCCCAGGAAGAAGCCTATACCGCTCGTCGTTCGGCTCGTCTTCAAAGGCTGGAAGAGGAAAGCCGCCAACTACTCAGCAAACTCTCGCACAACAACAATCGTGGTGATAGCTTGGGTCTAAGACTTGATATACTCCACGAACGTCATGGATCTCAGGAAGAGCCAACCACAGCATCCGCTTCGACAACCACAAACACAACCAATACTACCTCAAATACCCCGAGAGTGCCAGGAAAACTAACCACCGAGCAACGCATCGAAAACATTGAGAAAATTTCCTCCAATCGTGAACAGCGTCTACGCATCCTAGAAGAGGAGGGCCGCCAGTTGATTAATCGCCTCTCGGAAACCTCGGAAAAGGGCAGTCAAATGATACAACGCATTGCTGAGAGGGAATTGAATCGCCAACAACGTTCCAACTCCACACCTCAACGTGATAATGGTGACATGGCCAGCACCTCGACGGCAGTTGTAGATCCCCTGCTGCCCACACTTAAGAATGTGGCCTGTTCCAGCATTGTGGGCGATGAGTTGACGGAAAGGGTTACCATTACCACCACACCCAGTCAGATTGCAGCCCATCAAGGGGCCATACCTAAGACAACAAAAACAGTAACCAAGCCAACTACTCAACTTTTGGCCGCCCAGTCAAAAGCGGATCGCCTGCAAAGTATCTCCAAACAAAAAACCAAAGAAACCTCTAAAGAAGAAAGTTTGGAGGAAATGGTAAGGCGTCTACAGTCGTTACCTTTCCCCAAGGCAGAGGACACAAAGGAGGAGGAGAAAAACGCCACAGAAACTCCTCAAAACGAGGAAATTACTTCTATAACCTCTGAAAATAAATTAGAACCTCTACAAGCAACACCAATGGAAGAAAACTTAAATCCCGCAGATACCTCAAATGCAGCCACCACTACCGCTGCCGCTGCTGCCCCCAATACCCCCAATGACAATCCATAAAGTGTCATTCAAATACGATAAGACTTTATTCTACGTGTTCAACAATTCTCTTTTCTTTCCAATCAAAGTGCTGACTTCATTTTTTCTCTCGTGGAATCTTCCCACCCGAAGGGGAAGTTTTCCCAATCTTTAAACCTTTATAACGATTTATACGTACCATATATATTTTCGGATATGTTTAAAAATATATACATATTTATTTTCTTTATTATGCATATGTAATTGTAACTCGTAAAGAATAAAGTGTTATTCTTTCGTCTTGCCAAAAAAAAATTGGGATGAGTTTTATTTGGAAAGGAGGTATATGGCTCCAGGATGTTATGGTATAAAAAATGAACCTACGAGGTCATAGGATCAAATAATTGATTAATTTGGTAAGTTCAGCGCCGAGTCGGAGTTTCTCTCTTAGATTGCTGTGTCACATTTATAGTTCTCGGGTCAACATTTAAAGTTTAATTTTTATATATCTAGTGGGGGTCCTTTTAAAGTTGGCGATTATAGTTCTGATAAAGGTTTTCAAAAAATCGACGATTTTAGCTATAGTTGTGGCCTTTTGAAAAGCTATGACTATATCTCTGGTAGCGGCTCTTTTAAGAGTTACCAAAATTTTAAATTGTATTGCTAATGGTGACGCTTTCAAAAGATCATACAAACTGGAACATTATGGCCTCCTTTAAACATTTACGATTTCAGCACTGGTGGTCCTTTCAAAATCCAAGATAATACCTCATTTGGTTGCTCATCAGAAATCCGCGATTACAGTTTTTCTTAAAAATAACTGTTATAGCTTTATTGGTCCTTTCGCTATGCAACATTGTGACTTTGGCGGTGAATCTTTTGAAAATACTGGATAGAAAAGTTTTTAAAAAAAAAAAAAAAAAACAAGTAAGCAACGGCTATAGCCGTGCGGGCCCGACCATGTGATACCCTACAACACTACAATATGTTATAAGCTCTTTTATGACCAAACCCATTTAGGAAGATTCGCTTTTGAAATGGTGCCATGGAGCACTGCCCAGATATTACCTTTAACAGTTTGACCAGGAACATTTGCCCAATATTTATGCACTCCGTCGTGCTGTTAGTTGTTGTGGTCCATTTTACAGCTAAATACATTGGTCATCCAAAATGCTACTCTTCTTCCCTGTCCTTAATTCTCTTCTTATGCAAAATTTTCTTTTCGATTGGTTGGACATGAATTATTGAAAACTTTAAAATGGCCCTAACTCCTTAAATATTGAGTTTTCGGCGATTTTGTGTGATCAAGAAGATTTTTCTGTTTTTGGTTAATTTGAACCCCTAAATGTTTTGCGATCGTTTCCAAAAGCAAGAGGCCCCTCCGTATCTTCAAATTTAGACTCATCTATATGATTTGCTTGTCTACGAAATTTGGCTATATTCGTCAACGAAATTTGCCAGCCAGAAGTTCGCCATTTGTATATTTTAGATTTCGCTGTAAGTTATTTTCAGCGTTTCGGAAGTATGGAAATATTATCCGCTGTCCCAAACTCTAGCTTCATGCGAGATTTTGTGTCCTTTGGTTTATTAGGAGCATTTTTATTTGTTGGTTCATTTCAGCCCCTAAATATATTGGGAAGATTTTTAAAAAACAATATTCCAAGCCCTTCTGAGCCTAGCCGTACCCTTGTGAAAATTTTCATGAGGATCGGACTATAATTGCAATCTGTATATAGTATCCCCAACCTGTGTTGTAAAATGAACAAATATTACAAAATGTACACTTCAATATTATAAGTCAAATTGAAAAAATCGCATGCGATAAAGATGAAAAAATAAAACCAGTAAAGAAAGTCTTAAAGTCTGGCGGGCCCGACTTTTTGATATCCTACACCACTTCGCGAATTTAGTAGAGTTCCACATAACAATTAAAAGTTTTTGCGGGAGAATTATAATTTAAATTTCAAAGATTTAAATATGCCGAAGCATTTGTATCTTTTAAATTTGGACTTGTTTTGCCCATTTGAAATTGGATAATTAATTTGAAATCGGATAAATAAATATATGGGAGCTATATCCAAATCTGAACCGATCTCGATAAAATTTGGCAAAGGTATTTCTGAGCTGTATTTGATATATTTCCCCAAATATTGTTGTTACAGAGTGCATATTACGGCTGCGGAGGACAAAAAAAAAAACAAATCGGATAAACAATATATATGGGAGCTATAGCTACATCTGAACCGATTTCGATCAAATCTGGCATGCTCATTTTCAGGCCTAATTTGGTTGTATGTGCAAAATTCCATACTATTCGTGCTGATATTACACGTTCGGTACACAATAAAAGGCAAATAGGACAAAAAATACTACATAATCTATATTAACATCATTATTGGCATATTTTTATGACTTTTTTTAGATTTTATACTTTATGCCAAGAGGGCATTCTGAATTGAAAAAATTTGTCAAAATCGGTCCAGCCATTTTCGAGATATAATCTTCCTAGCTTATATCCGATTCCTTTGTATATACACATTGTATATAAATCGCTATATATATCCGATATATTTACTATCGGTATATACGCAACGGTCAGAATTGATCTATTCGTCAATTTGTGATTTCGCCGGGATTAGAAATGCTCGCGGTTTAATGGAAAATGTGACTTTTATTTAACACAAATGTTATAGTCTATTTCACCCACTGAATATTACCCTATGACCATCAAAATTGGAAGGCCTCTGCCCAGCCCTAGACGCTAGCGCCATGCTAATTTTGATTGGTCCATAATTGCGACCTGTACAGCAACTGCAAAAACAGGAAATTGTTCAGTTTTTGGTCCATTTCAACCCCTAAATATTATGTGATCATCTCCAAAAGAAATAGGGTTCTATTCTGACCTTAACCCCACCTCCATTCTAAATTTCGTGAAGATCGGGCCATAATTGCGACCTGTAGAGTGATTACAAATTAACATGGACAGACGGACGGACGGACATACATAGCTAGATCGACTCAGCTCGGCGAGATAGGAAGATCCATATATACTTTCCTATGTGGGAAATCAATATTTCGAGGTGTTACATAATTTTTGGCCCAATCAAACTTATAATACCCCCAACACATAGTGTTGTAGGGTATAATGAACCTACGAAGTCATTGGATCAAGTAATTGATTAAATTGGTAAGTTCTGAGATAGCGTAAAAGGGCGAAGTGTCACATTTATAGTTCTCGAGTTAAACATTTTAAGTTTGATAAGTATAGCTCTAGTGGGAGTCGATTTTAGCTTTAGTTGTGGCCTTTTGAAAAGCTATGACTATATCTCTGGTGGCGGCTCTTTTAAGAGTTACAAATATTTTAGATTGTATTGTTAATGGTGGCCCTTTCAAAAGTTCACACAAACTAGAACATTATGGCTCTCCTTTAAAAATTTACGATTTCAGCACTGGTGGTCCTTTCAAAATCCAAGATTATACCTCCTTTGGTGGCCTTTAGAAATCCGCAATTACAGTTTTTCTTACAAATTAACTGTTATAGCTTTATTGGTCCTTTCACTATTCAGCATTGTGACTTTGGCGGTGGATCTTTTCAAAATCCTGAACAGAAAAGTTTTTCAAATTCTGAATTGACAAAAATCGGTCCAGCCATTCTTGAGTTATGGTCTATTTCACCCAGTAAATACTATCCAATGACCATCAAAATTGGCTTCTGCCCAGCCCTAAGCTTTAGCCCCATGCTAACTTCCACTGCGATTGGTCTATAATTGCGACCTGTAGAGCAACGGCAAAAACAGGAAATTTTTCTGTTTTTGGTCCATTTCAATCATCCTCAAAAGTAATAGGCTTCTATTCAGGCTCTAGCCCCACTTCCATTCTAAATATTTTGAAGATCGGACCATAATTGCGACCTGTAGAGTGATTACAAATTAACATGGACAGACGGACAGACGGACAGACATACATAGCTAGATCGACTCAGCTCCGCGAGATAAGAAGATCCATATATACTTTCCTATGTGGGTGAGATGAAGAAACTGCAAAAAACTTCAGACTGCTGTCATTTCTAAGACACTCGTCCGACTACTGTTAAAATTATTCCAGTGATAGCTCATTATATTGTTTACAAGAGTACAAAAGCATTTTGGTGAGAATTTTCCAGGAAAAAATTATTCGTGATGGAATTCAAGCGTGATAGTATGATTTCTTTATATTTGGCTAGAAAACCACAAGTGGCTGTTGTTAGAGCACACCAGCATTTAAATGCGAATACATTTTTTTGTGTTTCGTACCATCACTCGTTACTGTGATACTGGTAGAGTAGCCCGACGTCAAGAAAGTGGACGGAAGAAAACAGCAACATCAGCAGAAATGGTTCGAAAAGTAAAGAATCGACATGATCGAAACCCGCGTCGCAGTGGCCGAAGAGTGGCTCGTGAGCTTAACATATCGCAATATTCCATTCGGAAAAATGAGCTCGGGGTAAAGCCATTGAAAATCCAAAAAGTGCAAGAAATTACACGGCAACAGAAAGAAAATAGACTCAAAAGAGCTAAAGAGTTGCTTCGCTTGGCCGAAAGTGGAGAACTTTTTGTTTTCTCCGATGAGAAAACATTCGTTGTCCAGCAGTTTGTAAACAAGCAAAATGATCGTGTTTACTTGCCAAAGAGGTCAGCTGAAAATGTGCACTTTCGGTTGGCCACCAGAAAAAAAGAACTCAAGCGCCAGCTATGGCGATGGTGTGGGTCGCCATAACAGCCGATGGTCGCTCTCCGCTCGTATTAATCGACCGTGGCATCAGAATAAATGCTAAATATTATTGCAAAAATATTCTGGAGGGTGTGTTAAAGCCTTGGACACGCAAACATTTTGGTCGCAGACCTTGGACATTGCAATAGGACTTTGCACCATCGCTCTCAGCACGCGCCACCCAAGAATTGTTACAAAATGAGGTTCCTCGCTTCATTTCCAGCGCATAATGGCCACGAAAATCTCCGGATACCAATCCGTTGGACTATTATGTCTGGAGTATTTTAGAAAGCAAGGTTGGCACTAAAAAATAACAAAAGGAAGGGGTCAAAATACCGCAGAGCAACATTCGGACAGCGTGTGCCGGTTTCATTGGCCGTTCAATGGCCATAATTCATGCCAAAGGTGACCAATTCGAATAAATCTAAACTTATTTTAAAATTTGATGTTATTTCCGATATTTTTTTTGATTTCATTCAATAAACTTTAAAAAAAATGTAAAAATTATGGCGTTTGACTTTGTGGCAGTTTTTTTTATCTCACCCTGTATTTCGAGGTGTTACGTA